TTTTTTTTTTTTTTTTTATTCCTTTTTGGCCCGACCGGGCAAGTGGACCCGGGCCACTCTGGTAGCCTAGCTTGAAAGGTTTTTAGTAACTTCTTACCCAGTTCGTGCAACAACTGCAGAAACCGGGGCTTGATCCCCAGACTTTCCCCAAGTTGAACCCAATGTACAGTGCGTTTGTGTTGTTCGTTAACCCCATGTGCCTTGAACCCCCGACCTCAGTGACCTGTCCCCAAAGTCATGTGTAAATACTTTGTGTGTGAGGCCTGGTCCGTGTGGATTTGATCCATAGGTCTATCGTTCAGAAGTCCTAGGGTCGTCTGTAGGTGTCCCCAAAAGGCAAGTTTACACTTGACCTTTCGAAAGGTCAACTGGTCATACACCCTCTGAAAGGTCAGTAGGTCGTGGCTAGGTTAGGTCTCGAAGAGTCAACTTCACCTCTCGAAGTCAGTAGAGGCAGCCTGTCAAATCTCTGAAAGGTCAAGAGTCCCAAGTCAACCGCAAAGAGGCGCATGAAAAGGCAGTCCCAGTCCAGTCCGCCGTTTTGCAGCAAGTCCTGGAATGGGACTGCTGCGTCACTGCGCATCTTGAGGGCCTGGGACATCGGGCAGGTTCAGGCCACCAAACGAAACAGTATTTGACTTGGGACTTGCTGCAAAACGAAACAGTATAAATATAGAGGCAGCGATCAGTCATTGACTCATTTTGAGACAAACTACGCGGAAGCACTGCTTGAGTGTCTTGTGTGTGGAGTCACAGGTGGTCAGCAGGAGAGCCGGATTGAAGAGGGCAAGCGGCCATAGCTGCTAGGAGGAGGAAGACGAGGACGATGATGGTGGCCATAGCCGCCCATGTGTAGAAGATAGAAGATAAGTGTGTGTGAGTGCAGACATTCAGGGTAGATCCAAGTGTTGTCTGCATACATGCATGTGAGTGTGTCTGATGGTGGATACAGTCTTCGGGTGGGCCCATGTTCTACTGGCAGATTCATTCTCTTCCTATCGGTATGCACCGCATGCAAATGAGAATGAATCTCCCGCAAGACCATGGGAAGATACACAGCCTTTTTTTTTGGCTTTCCTAGATGAAAACTACTGCGGTACCTCTTCCCAGTTCCTAGGGGCAAATCCATTCTCTTCCTATTGGAATTGGGATCCCATAGGGGTGCTATGTAATATGCAAAATGAGAATGTGTTTCCCGCTAGAACATGCGAAGACACAATGTCACCTCC